AACCCAGCAGGAGGGGCTGGGCCCAGGAGGGGAAACCCAGCAGGAGGGGCTGGGCCCAGGAGGGGAAACCCAGCAGGAGGGGCTGGGCCCAGGAGGGGAAACCCAGCAGGAGGGGCTGGGCCCAGGAGGGGAAACCCAGCAGGAGGGGCTGGGCCCAGGAGGGGAAACCCAGCAGGAGGGGCTGGGCCCAGGAGGGGAAACCCAGCAGGAGGGGCTGGGCCCAGGAGGGGAAACCCAGCAGGAGGGGCTGGGCCCAGGAGGGGAAACCCAGCAGGAGGGGCTGGGCCCAGGAGGGGAAACCCAGCAGGAGGGGCTGGGCCCAGGAGGGGAAACCCAGCAGGAGGGGCTGGGCCCAGGAGGGGAAACCCAGCAGGAGGGGCTGGGCCCAGGAGGGGAAACCCAGCAGGAGGGGCTGGGCCCAGGAGGGGAAACCCAGCAGGAGGGGCTGGGCCCAGGAGGGGAAACCCAGCAGGAGGGGCTGGGCCCAGGAGGGGAAACCCAGCAGGAGGGGCTGGGCCCAGGAGGGGAAACCCAGCAGGAGGGGCTGGGCCCAGGAGGGGAAACCCAGCAGGAGGGGCTGGGCCCAGGAGGGGAAACCCAGCAGGAGGGGCTGGGCCCAGGAGGGGAAACCCAGCAGGAGGGGCTGGGCCCAGGAGGGGAAACCCAGCAGGAGGGGCTGGGCCCAGGAGGGGAAACCCAGCAGGAGGGGCTGGGCCCAGGAGGGGAAACCCAGCAGGAGGGGCTGGGCCCAGGAGGGGAAACCCAGCAGGAGGGGCTGGGCCCAGGAGGGGAAACCCAGCAGGAGGGGCTGGGCCCAGGAGGGGAAACCCAGCAGGAGGGGCTGGGCCCAGGAGGGGAAACCCAGCAGGAGGGGCTGGGCCCAGGAGGGGAAACCCAGCAGGAGGGGCTGGGCCCAGGAGGGGAAACCCAGCAGGAGGGGCTGGGCCCAGGAGGGGAAACCCAGCAGGAGGGGCTGGGCCCAGGAGGGGAAACCCAGCAGGAGGGGCTGGGCCCAGGAGGGGAAACCCAGCAGGAGGGGCTGGGCCCAGGAGGGGAAACCCAGCAGGAGGGGCTGGGCCCAGGAGGGGAAACCCAGCAGGAGGGGCTGGGCCCAGGAGGGGAAACCCAGCAGGAGGGGCTGGGCCCAGGAGGGGAAACCCAGCAGGAGGGGCTGGGCCCAGGAGGGGAAACCCAGCAGGAGGGGCTGGGCCCAGGAGGGGAAACCCAGCAGGAGGGGCTGGGCCCAGGAGGGGAAACCCAGCAGGAGGGGCTGGGCCCAGGAGGGGAAACCCAGCAGGAGGGGCTGGGCCCAGGAGGGGAAACCCAGCAGGAGGGGCTGGGAGTGGGGGGGGAAACTCAGCAGGAGGGGAAACCCGCCACAGCGCCTGGGAGAGGGAGAGGAAACCTGCCACAGCGACTGAGAGAGGGAGAGGAAACCCAGCAGGAGCAGCTCGGAGTCGGAGCGAAGCCTGCCTCAGCTGGTTTCGCTCCCCTCTCTGCTTGGCTCCAGCCACTGGAAGCCATATTCTTGCAGGAATCTTCCTGCAATGGCCCTCTAGTCTTATTAATAAAGGTCACCCCAGACGAGATGATGTGATATGTGTAACTGTATGTCTCAGTATAATTTTTCCAGCCTCAACTAACTGCTGAGCAGAGGTGTTTATTCTTAGTTAAGAAGCTAGTTAAAGCTTTGGCTCAATGGATAGAACATCGGTCTGTGAACTGAAGGGTCCCAGGTTCGATTCTGGCCAAGGGCACATGCTGGGTTGGGGTGCCTGCATTGGCCCAGTCAGTGCTGGGTCACCATAGCAACCCAGGACTGACTTCCAGTCTGGTTGAGCCTTTGGTGGTAATGGTCGTTATGACCCTGGCTCTTTATTATATAGACTAGAGGCCCAGTGCACAAAAATTTGTGCACTCAGCAGGGAGGGGGGGGGTCCCTCAGCCCGGTCTGTGTACTCTCACAGTCTGGGACCCCTCAGGGGATGACCACCTGCTGGCTTAGGCCTGCTCCCCAGGGGATTGGGCCTAAGATGGCAATCAGACATCCCTCTGGCAGCCTGGCAGCACTCGGGGGATGTCCACTTGCCAGCGGGGAGCAGGCCTAAACTGCAGTTCTACTTCCTTAGCGCTGCTGAGGAGGCAGGAGAGGCTCCCACCACCACCACTGGACTGGCAGCCATCAGTCTGGCTTGTGGCT